CTGCCGCTTCTTTAGCATTCACGCTAAGATCCTCTATCGTGGCAACTTAGGTGCCGGGAACAGGAAATCTAACCAAACACACCTTTTTTCAAAATTTTTTGCATATTGTGATTGGCGTACAAAATAAAAATTACATTAAATTCCCAAGTATACGACTTAACATAAACGTGTTCTTAAGAATTCATGTTACCTTTCTCTCATCTCTTTTCGCTTGACAATGTATTTCATGCGTTATAGCATATAAATGAATGGGACGTTTGACTTTCCCTTATTTCTGCCTTTCCTCTGTGGTTTCGAGGTAGATCAAGGCTGTTTGTGGAGGCTCCCTATTAAATCGCTTCAGTTCTAGTGCTTCCATTTGACTTTCGTGCACCTTATCCACGAAGGTGTATCCTGTCCCTGTTCTCTATAGACCTCCCATCCGTCACTTAACTATATCACCAAACGTTCTCCTCCGCATTTCACGACGTTACTTTCTGCTCCCCGATCACTCACCCTCTCCTCTTTCTCACTTACCTCAGCACTTCATTCAATCTAGGTAAAGCAGTCATCCCGTAGACCCCCACTTGTCTCCACGAACCCCGATTCCCCTCTCCGTCATCTACCGTCTGAACTCTCGGGCTGATATAAGATAAACGAAAATCTATTACTCCCCCCTCCTCCCCCACTTCAACACGGTTCAATCATTGACTAAGTGTATTTCCCACTATTTTGCACCTGCTTCTTTTCTAATATTTAAAGGGGGGTCGCCCGGTAGCCGCATAGTTTTTCATCTGAAAATGCTCGCCCCTAACACCCGAAAAAGCGTACGGCTGAGCGTTGGTGTAATCAACTTTTATTCGGCCATAAACGTTTTAAAAAAACGTGGCACTGATCTCTCGCTGGAGACGTACTTGAAAACAAAATCACTTGCCTTCGAATCTACAAGGGCGCCAGACCGTTGCGAGATTACCTTACAGTTGCAATCCCTGGAATTCGCTCCCCTCGGGAATGCCTTCCAGGTTGCCCTGCCCCTGTGGTTGCAAGGCATTCTCTCGGGACTTCATGCAAACTGCTTGATTTCTGGAGAATATTCTTCGGTCATTCCCAAATACTCTGAATAAAAATCTCCCTCATTAGCTACATGTTAATCCTATAGGTAGTCCATATATGTAACGCTTTCGACGCAATTTCTAAGCAGGGGGCGCCGTCATCCAGATGACAATCAGCTTAACTCCTTCCTTCTGAAAGGCTTGCAAATATAATTCGTCGACATAAAACTGATGCTAATACAACTGAGCTTCCCTGTCTTGAATTTGAGTTCTGCGCCTCGGTTCCGAATTTCACCCTTCATTAATTGCAAGAA